CGGGCGAGCGAGCAGGGCTGGGCTGTCAGCCCTGCGGGAAGGCTCACGGATGAGGAAACACTCTCCTTAGTGTGTCCTGCTCTCCTTAGTGAGGTCCTGCGGTTGGGCTGGCAACCCTGCCAGCCAACATTGGTGCTTGGGGCAGGAGAAAGGGCTCTGGGGCATCCTCAGCCTTTTTGTACTTGGCTGTGTTGTGTGGCTTCTATTGGATTTGCAACACAGTTGTGTCCAAGAGGGCAAAGTTTTGTGAGCTTTTATGAAAAGTTGCCCTTTGTTCCTGCTGTTCTGTCAAGGATCTCTCATCCCTGCATGGATCCCTGAACATTTTCATTGAATCTGCCCCTCCTGCCCTCAGCAAAGTTTACCCACTGACAGTAAGATTTTTCTTCTTTAGTGACCTTCTGGGACCCTTTAGAAAGAATCTCTGTCCCCCAAGGCCTGGGAACACAGCAGCAAACACTAGTAATGGGTGTATGGGATATTTTACTTATGAAGCATTTTGTTAACCATCCTATTGCCCTTCCTGCTCCTGTTGTCATTGCCTGCTTTCCTGTGATGCAGACTCCTGGAGTCTATGATTCCTGTGAAGATGATTAATTTCCCACAGGTGAGTTTCCTTTTGCTGAATCAGACTCCATGGCCAAGTGACTGTCCCACCTTGTAAAACTGAAGTAGACCATGTTATTAATGACCTCAGTTTGTTAGGTGTTGGTGACCCCTTTCTTGTGGTTGTTCCAAACCTCAGTGTGCTCTCATCTCACCTCAGGCAATAACCTAGGTGATAAACTTCATCCAAGACACTTTGTCACATTGCTTGTGGTGGGGACCCTGGTACTCAGGAGCACTAATCAAACTCTCCCTCATCTGTCTCCTGTAGAAGATTGCAGGCGAGCTGTACGGACCCCTCATGCTGGTTTTCACACTAGTGGCCATTCTTTTGCATGGAATGAAGACCTCAGACACCATCATTGTACGTCAAGTCTCAGTGATAAGTTGTGGTTTGACTGGGCTCTGGATTGCTACAATTACAGTAGAAACAGAGAAGAAACCTCTTCCATAATTGAATAAGTGTCTCACTGAAAGCCGATGGATTTGAGGAAGAACTTGTTGGTTTGGGGGTGGGAGGAAGGATGCACCAGAAAGTCCTGACACTCTGCTGCTGGGAGAGCTGGTGTGTGGGTCATGTGACCCCCTGAACACTGCTAGCCAGATATTTGCTAATGCCTAGAAAGGCTCTGAGACTCTCAGGTGAAATTTGGGTGCTGGCAGGTCACTTCTATGAGTTTTCCTCATCCTGACGCTCTCTCCACAGAGGGAAGGCACACTGATGGGCACAGCCATTGGGACCTGCTTCGGTTACTGGTTGGGCGTCTCGTCTTTCATGTATTTCCTGGCATATCTGTGCAATGCACAAATCACAATGGTGCAGATGCTGTCACTGTTGGTATGTATAGGTGGAACTGCCTGGAGATGCACATTGGCTTCATGGTGTTCCAGCACAAGCTTTTCTCAAAGAATGGGAAAAGTCCCTGTAAAACATTGGTCCCAGGTAACTGCATTTGGACAACCTGGAATTCCAAGATGCTCTTCAGACCTGCCCCATTTCAGGCACAGCAGTAGTGCAAGGAGGCAGTTCCTTCATGCAGGTCTCCTGCTCTGCACTTCCTGATTTGAGAGCCTAGTGGGAAAAAAACAGGAGACCCCAATTTCTCTGGAATCAGAGAATCTTTCCTTTGTTTCCCAAGTTGTTTCAGTCTCTGACATGCTAGTGAATCCTTCAGACAGACTATCTGGATGTGAGATGCTGTTAAACTTGTTGTTCCGGTTGACTCTTTGGCATTGAATGAGTGGTTTGTGAGCATTTGCCTCAGTGAAGTGGTGCAGGAATAGGCTGTTTGTGCTCTTGATCAATGGCCCCTTTGTGTGGGACTGACACTTGTAATATGGACATTTTTGTTTTGTCAGGGCTATGGCCTTTTTGGACACTGCATCACTCTCTTTGTCACCTATAATATCCACTTCCACTCCCTCTTCTATATCTTCTGGTTGGTTGTTGGTGGACTCTCCACACTACGAATGGTAAGGGACAGACAGCCTGGGGTCTTCCTCTTCCTGGGACAAAAAAAAAGGGAGGGAGGTGTTGTTTGCTTTCTGTTCCTTGGGCCTGGCAGTTCATTTCACAGCCAGTTGGGCTGCTGTGAAGAACAGCCCAATGATCCTGCATCATTTGGCCACTGGTGCATGGAGGTGCTGCTTGGATTAATATCCTCACCCATTCTAAGAGCTGCAGGAGGTTTACTCCCTTACAGCTCTTGCTGCTCTGGAGAGCCAAGCCTGAGCATCCTGCACTCTTGGCAAAACCAGGCAAGATTCACCTACACAAAACAAAGTCAGATTGCTCTAAATTTGTTGGTGAAAACTGTGGAAAAGACTCAGATTAGTGTTTCCATGGATTCTCCCTACTTGGCCCATCCTCCTGTGTGCTCCTGACTGCAATGCTAGAGGCTCAGGTAGCAGCAGCTACCTTGTCTCTGGTCTCCACCTCTCTCCTAGGTTGCTGTGCTGGTGTCACGCACTGTGGGACATACCCAGCGGCTCATCCTGTGTGGGACTCTTGCTGCTCTGCATATGCTTTTCCTCCTCTATCTGCACTTTGCTTATCACAAGGTGGTAGAAGGTAAGCAAGGCAGATATGAAGACATCCTGTTAAATGTGGGGGAAGACAAGCTGCTTTTTGCTCTGAGAGAAAGGATGGACACTTTGGGTCTGTTCTTAGGGTATCTGTGCTGGTTTCCAACTCAAGAATGATCAGCACTAGCTTTTTTAGAGGAAGCTGTTGAAATAGGGCACCAGCTAGACAATGGGGTAGTTACTGTCACTGAGTTTTAGTACTTAAGACCCAAGTTGTGAGGCAGGACCCTTATTATTTCCCCACAAGTGAAGTGTAGTAGGACTGACTCTTCTTTCACGCAGATATCAAGCCCCTTACTGAATATTGCTGAAGTCAGGTTGCTTTTCTCTGATCAGGAAATGTGTCATAAGTATTTTTCTTTCTTTGTTTAACACCTTTTTTCATCTTCTGTTGTACAACACAGATAGCAGAAGCTGCATCTTCCCCAGTTGGTACTGTTCACCAGGCTATGCTTGTCTGGGTCCCTTTCTGTGTCTCTTTTTGTTTTCTTCTAACAAAGTCTCAACATCCTTTAAAAAAAACCCAAACACCTTCTCCCACTTATCTCTAGAGAGTTTCCAGATCCCTAAATATGCAATTCTGCAAGCATCTTTATGAGTTTAGGCAGCCAGACCCATTCATGATGTTTCAGATAAATCTGCATAATTAGGGGTTATAGCACAGCATTACAAGTCCTTCTAGATATAAATCCTGTTCTTTCCTGGATCTGTTCTTATGGTGAAGGTTCTGAGCTCTGATGTGCAATTTTTTGGCAGATGAAATAGAATAAAATATACTCCAGTTTTCTTCAAGGCACTCCAAGACTGATGATCAGTCTTGAGAGGTTAATTGACAGGGACTTGAGAACACTTGCATCAGGATATGTATTTTCTGCCAAGAATGGCCTATGTTTGCATTGCAGTGATAAAAATTCCATATTGCAGCCCAGCTGCAGCTCCTGATGTAATTCTGCAAGTGTATCTTTAGATGAAAGCAAGCAATTGGTCTAAGAGCAGGACCTGTGCTAGGATGAAGTAGGAACAGGATTTTATCGATCTGCCTCAGCAGAGCAACGTCCCTGGCAGTACCTGCATTCAGGTCAAATGGCAGGGGACTGGATCTGACACCCTCAAAGCAAAAAGATCTATGTTACTCTTGGTGACATGCAGTTTTCCTGCCCTGAGGTCAAGCTCTGGTGTGTACCCTGTGGTCTCTGCGTGGAGGTGTTTAGTCTTGCTCAGTCTTTGGGGTTAGATGTCTCCTCCTTGCCTGCAAGTGTTTCACATATCCTGGGCCCTGCCACCATCAACCACTACCTGGCCAGAGAGAAAAGCAAGAAGAAACGTGCCATCTGCTATCATCTGAACTAACTCTTGCCTCTCTCCCCTTTTTTCTGTTCCCTGCAGGTATCCTGGACACATTGGAAGGACCCAACATGCCACCCTTTCAGAGAGTTGCCCGAGATGTTCCAGTTGTTTCCAATGCTGTACTGAACACAACAGCCAAAGCCATTGCATTGACCCTGTAGTTCACAAACTTGGACTTGCTTCCTTCACTACTTCTGGGGCTGCATAGGGCCACAGTAACCTGCTGTCTCTTAGGAACAGGACAGAACAATAAGAAGACGACTTGGTTTTGTTTTCCTGGACCTGTCCTTTGGGTTACAGTTTTGAGCAGCTGAGTGGACTCAGCTGAGGTGAGTCGCACCTCAGTGACTCAGAAGAACTACACTCTTCCCCCACCCAGGTCTGGACTGTCTTGAGTAGAGTGGTTCTGTTGCCTGCATGTTTAGCTGGGATTTCCCGGCACAGTTTGTCCCTTAGCCCTCTTTCTGCTTGCTGATGTAACACCAGGAGTATCTGCCCTGTTCCTGTCCTGAAGAGGGAAGAATTAAATTGATGTTGGTGCTGAGTGATGTCTTATGTTTGAGCCTGCTTGCCTAGTGGGAGAGTGGTGTTGGGTCTCTATGCCTTTATCTATCCTGTCCTAGACTCAAAGCAGGATTCTTTGCGATTTTCTGCTGTCCTACTTCAAATGTTCTGTGATACAGCACTTTTCCATAGCCCAAGAGGCACAGGAACTTCACTTTCTTTGGAGATTTTCAGAACAGCACAATGTTTAACCGCATGATCTTCCTTGTCGTGCTCCAGATTGACTCTTCTCTCTTCACTTGGTCCAAGCTGCTATCTCGCCTCACCATCCCTTCTCCTGGGACATCAGAAATGTGTCTGTCCCCAGGCTTTCACAGCACCTTTTGTTCTTAACACCCTTCTGCCCATGTTGCTCTGTGGGCTGTGCAGGGGCAGCATGTTTGTGCATGGTCTTCTGTGGGTTTTTCTATTAAGAGGCTGGTTCAGCCCACCCTTGTGCTGCTTGCCCTTGTGTCTCCCAGCCAAGGGACTGTCACCTAATTGCTCTGAGCAGGAGTGGTATCCTGCTCCCACAGGCACCACGGCTGCTGGCTTTTCAAGCAGAATCTAGGCCTTGTTTCTGAAAGGACTCCTGGAGCCTTGAGGGTCTCTGGCAAACTTTTTTCCAGTGTTTCCATTAAACAAAGGGAGAAATAGGGGAGCATGCAACAGAAGTAGGTTGGCACATGTACCTCCAGCGTACTGATGCTGAGAAAGCTCCAGTAAGGATGGGGAAGCAGAGCAGCCTAGTCTAGGCTTACCTGTGCTGCACTAACACACAAATTACTAGTTCAACCTTCCCTCACTGCTCTTACTTTTACTGGTCTGAGAGTGGAAAGCTGTTAGCTGATAACTGACTTTCACCTTTTCTTTCTATATTTCTGGATGTCTAGGAGAGGAGCCACCCCTCAGAGAAAGCACAAGACGTTGCCCTTTCTTGGTGTACCCACAAGTTAGCTGTGCACAAGGCAGCATGTCAGCACTGCACTCTTTGGTCTCTTGTTTATATTAACGGGAGAGGATGCAGCTGTAGTGGCATTCAGACTAGTGCCAAGGTGCAATGAAAGAGAGGAAGATAGTACTAGCTACTGTCATCAGGCTGGTCATCTGCTTCAGTTAAAAACATCACTGGATGTGAGCATTTTCAGTCACAGACCTACTTTCCACTGTTTGCCTATTCCCATGTTCATAATTTGTTCCCTTCCTAGAGCAAGAAGCTTGTGTGCTAGCAATCACATGCATAATAGACATGTTTTCTCACTCTCTCCTCCCCTCCCCTCCCTGCCTGCCCGTCCCCCTCTTTTAGGAAGCATTTTGGCTGAAGAACAGCACTCAGAGCAAGTTATTTGGGAGAATTGTTAATTATTTGGGCTAGCCTCCACGGCGTTTTTTTTGACTAGTTAAACCACTTTAAACTCCTAGAATTTCTATTACTTCGATACTTGACAAAATGGAAGTGTTAGTTTTTAATGCTGATTCTGGTATTTCCCTCTTTATATCTCCATGGGAGGTTGGTTTCTAATTCACAGTTCTTGCCCTGGCAGCCTAGAATGGATCTGTTTCTCTTGGTGCAAACTCTGGAAGCACAAGCAGGGAGGAAGGAAAAGAGGCAATTGTCACTGGAGTTAAGTCCAGCTGAGAAGAAAAATCATTCTGCACAAACTCTATCACTGCTGATCTACAGAGACAGTCAGAGAAGAACAGCTGTGCTCCCCTCCCACACCGAGCCACTTAGCTGAAGCAGGAGGGTAAAGCTGTGCCCTGTGTTTTCACTCAAAGCACAGGAGAGAGCAGCAAGCAAACTCCTCACGCGTCCCCTGGGCAGCTTGTGTGTCATGTCAGCTGGGAACATGACCAGGGTGACAACCAATCACCCTCTTGGAACCTGTGGGGCTTGCTCTGCTCCAGTTCTTCAGCCCTAATTAATCCTCTGTGCGGCAGCAGCTGGAAGCTGAACTGCTCTGTACTGCCAGAAATTCAGTAGTTGACAGAGCCTCAGCATTGCCTTTTGCTGACAGAGAAGGACAAGGTTTTTCAGGGAAATGTGTGCATGCTGCAGTTCCAGGGAGCATGCTGAGCATGCAGCCTTAGTAAAGTCCTTGTGGGAGGGCATTTCAGTGCTTACTCAAGTCCTCTAGTTATCATGACAAGCCTTACAAGCCTATTGTGCAAGTCTACCTTTGCTTCCTGCCACAGCTCTTGCAGCAAATCTAAAATAATTTTCTCCCTCCTCCCTTGGCACAAATCTGAAATAATTCCTCCCATCACCTCACCCTTTTGAAAGAGGGTAGCTCTGTGAACTCTTAATGGCATCAGTCTTTGTGCCCCCAGTAGGTAAACAATAAACAACCTTCCTCATACCTGCTGGGTAACTGCACATAACAAGGAAGCAATATCTAACTTTACACAAAATAGCATTGCCAAGGTCCCCTCTGCATAGCCCTTAATTAGGTTTAGGGAACCAAAGTTTTGGACCATTATCTCCTGTGCCACTTTTTCCAATGTATTTGAGCATAAAGTGAGGTTGGATGCTTATCTCCTCAATGTGCTCTTGCTCCTGACAATAGGCAGTGAAGATGCCAGCACTAGGGCATCTTCATCAGTGTTTCAGGGCTGCTGCTGTCAGTGGAAGTGGGACAAGTCCCAGGGGCTCTCCTTCAAGTACCTCTCTAATAACAGTCTGTTTAAAAAAGCATGAGTTGATTAGTGCCTGGAGGTAATCAAGAGGTGAGACAGTGTAGTCTTCCAGTTGACCTGTATGCAGCAGCAGCTGGGATTTTCTTGGTCACCCATCCCATGCCCAGCACTCTGAGATCCAGCCTTTGTCCCTGCAATACCTAGGATCCCATTCTCACCTGAATCATTTGACGTGACCTTAGAGATCAGTTGCTCCTTTTCTGAAAGCCATCAGCTGTACTACAGCTGGGTGCTCGCAGCTGCTGTCCATATCCCAGTGCAGATGAATTGCTAGGCCAGTGGTCTGTTTTTGGTGTTCCTCGCAGGAAGAGTATGAAGGTCATGCATCCTTGTGCAACAGGGACAGAAAAAGGAGTGTGTAGATAGCTCTAGAGAACAGCAATGGATTACTCAAAGGGCATGGGATACCTACACTGGAAGTTAGATGCTGCAGCCAAAGTCTAAAAGCTGATATCTGAATCAGCTTATCTGCTTCTTCCCTTGTCTCATTCAGAGCCTAATGTGCACTCTCAGCTCAGGTGATCTGGTCCTCAGTTCAGTGGAGGAGAACTGCTTCACATCCCCTTCCACATCCTATTTTTTCCTTCACTTTCCACCCCCTCTCCCCCACCCTGGCCTGAAAACCAAACAGAGGAACCTGGGCTTGTCCCAGTGTTACCCACTGGGCTGGAATTCACTTAAGCACTGCTATATGCAGCAGCCAGATTAGTTATGTGCAGAAAGCTGCCTACTTAGGCGGTTTAACCTAATTTCCACATCACTGGCTTCCTTTTTCAGCTCAGTGAAGTTGAAAATGCAGGGGCCCTGCTTCCTATTTCTCTCCAAGAACAGGATTACCCAACGGGGGAGAGAGGGGTCAAATCCCTCTGATCCATACCCGTGCATTAGCAGACGGCAGGTTATGCCCCACACACCTCAGGTCAGGCTGAGGGCGCAGACTGTGTGCTCAGGAAGAAGGAAGCCTGCGGCCCTTCTCCAACCCTCCACCTTTCACCAGCTGCTTCCAAGCACCGGCTCCAAGAGCCCTGGGCCTTGAGGAGCAGCTCACACCAACCTCGCCATTAAGTCATGGGTCCAGGTTTATGCATAAACGTCACTGAACCCACGGAACATCGCTGTTCCTCAGACCAAGTGCCCAGCGTGCGCCACGGCCCAATGGCTTTGGCCCCCTCCCCACGTGGGAGAGGGGCTAGCAGGGAGGGTCCTTCCCAGTGGGGCTTCTCCCACCCTC